TAATGACCCAGTCTTCATTGATCGGTCTGATAATGACCCAGTCTTCAGTGATCGGTCTGATAATGACCCAGTCTTCACTGATCGGTCTGATAATGACCCAGTCCTCAGTGATCGGTCTGATAATGACCCAGTCTTCATTGATCGGTCTGATAATGACCCAGTCTTCAGTGATTGGTCTGATAATGACCCAGTCTTCAGTGATCGGTCTGATAATGACCCAGTCTTCAGTGATTGGTCTGATAATGACCCAGTCTTCAGTGATTGGTCTGATAATGACCCAGTCTTCAGTGATCGGTCTGATAATGACCCAGTCTTCAGTGATCGGTCTGATAATGACCCAGTCTTCAATGATCATTCTGATAATGACCCAGTCTTCAGTGATCGGTCTGATGATGACCGAGTTTTCAGTGATCGGTCTGATAATGACCCAGTCTTCAGTGATTGGTCTGATAATGACCCAGTCTTCAATGATCATTCTGATAATGACCCAGTTTTCAGTGATCATTCTGATGATGACCGAGTTTTCAGTGATCGGTCTGATAATGACCCAGTCTTCAGTAATTGTTTGTTGATGACACAGTCTGCTGTCATTGGTCCATTGATAACCCAGATGTTTGCGATTGGTCTAAATGATCCGATTTCCATGGCAGTATTTTTCCAACATTCTCCAGAATATCTTGTTTTGAGTGGACATTTAAACCCAAACGCATGTGTTTGGCCTGTGGGGGAAACCGGAGCACCCGGATGAAACCCACACCAACACTGGGAGAACATGCAAACTCCACACAGAAACACCAGCTGACCCAGCCGAGACTCAAACCAGAGACCTTCTTGCCGTGAGGACAGCGCGACACCACTGAGCCACCTGGAAGCCTGCACTTTATATTTAAAGTAGAAACAGAGCAATATTAAGCAGCATCAGAGACACGTTTACACCTAAATCCACCAGACAGTCGATTCCTATCTGTTGAGATTGATGAGATTCAGTCAGAAACTCTGCAGTGTTCAACACTGTGTGACCCAAACTCATCCTGGAAAACACACACACAGTCAGAACGCCGCAAGACTACAGAAAACAAGAGCCAGACCAGATATAATGCTGCACAGGATTCAGGAGGAACCCCTTCAGCTTTTGCACGATAATAGGAGCTGTAAACATCTTCCTGTGCGCAAACACACACACGCACACACACACACACACACACACACACACACGCACACACACACACACACACGCACACACACACACACACACACACGCACGCACACACACACGCACACACACACGCACGCACACACAAAGAGTAAAAAGCAATTTACTTTACTTGAGAAAAGTGAGTAAACCTGCTGCAACTTGTAACTGTAAAGTTGCTTTAACGTCATTTCTATAATTACGCTGATAGTTTATTATTTTCCTCAAATGTTCGGGGCAGTGGGTTTACTCACTTTTTAAGTAAAGTCAATTAACCTAATGATGAGTCTTCTTTGACTGGCCTGATGATGACTCAGATTCAGGAATTGTTCACAGTGTTTCCTCTAATATTTATTCTTTTGGAGAAAGTTTTATTTGTTTTATTTGGGCTAGAATAAAGCAGTTTTAAATAGTTTTAAACCCAATTTAAGGTCAATATTATTAGCCCCTTCAGCACTATTAGTGTTGGATTGTCTCCAGAACTGTTATACAACTGTTATACAAAGACTTGCCGACCAAGCCGCATCACCCTGCAGCCCAAGAGCGTTTACTGAAGGGCTGAGTCTGGTCAGTACCTGGATGGAAGACCACATGAGTGTGGCCACCAGGAGGTGCTCAACCTGCAGCCTGAGTGGGTCCTAATGCCCCAGTATAGTGACCGTCGTCACAGTGGAATGAACCGCCAACTTTTTCAGCATATGTTTTACACAGTGGATGCCCTTCCAGCTGTAACCCAGTACCAGAAAACACCCATTCACATTCATTCGCACACACACACACACACACACTCACACTCAATTTAGTTAATAAATTCCCCTATAGCACATGTGTTTGGACCCGGAGGAAACCCACACCAACACAGGGAGAACATGCAAACTCCACACAGAAACACCAACTGACCCAGTCGAGACTCAAACCAGAGAACATCTTGCTGTGAGGCCGCACTGAGTCACCATGCCGCCCTAGAAAAGAGTTATTAAAACTATTATTTTTAGAAACGTGTTGAACAAATCTTCTCTCCGTTAAGCAGAAATTGGGAAAAATATTAAAGAATTGAGATTAAACAGGAGGGTGAATAATTCTTCAACTGTATTCAGGGGCGGTTTTAGGATTTTCATTTTAGGGGGCTCAGCTCCTTATAAGATAAAAACAAATATATACATATTATATATGAAGCCGAATTTTAAATTCGTAAGTAGCAGTAATAAACCTAAAAATATTTGTTTAATATGGCAGAGCTGTATACTATATTCCACTGTATTACATAGACAGAGCCTTACACAGCCATTTGCAACCCAAGCTCATTCTGGAAATGTAGCCCCGCGGATGTTTCTGGGGGCCGCGATTTACATGGCCGGAGATACGTACAGCCGTGTTTAGTTTTTTCGAGCGAACGCTGCGGGGTGGCGCCGCTCCGCTCCTCCTCTTCGCACTCGCCGGCCGACAGCTCGCCTCAGAGTGGAGGACTGTCCTGCTGCAGTCAGTTTGTCCGCTTAGCTCACAGCGTTGCGTCGGCGGAGCGGAGGCCCCGGAGGAGGAGCCGGTCGCGGGGACGATCGAGTCCGGGGAACAGAGGTTCCAGAAATCAGGTAAGATGAAAAACAGAATCAGAAAAATAAGGGCGAGAACGCGGCGCGATCCAAAAACGCGGTCGAAATCGAAGACGAGGGCTTTTGATTGATTTATTTATTTTCTGGACGGCTTTTGCAAACCGTCGCTTGGGTTTAGGGAAGGAGGAGGAGGAAGAGGAGGGCGGCCGGGTCGGCTGATCCGGCGGCTTTTCGTGCGAGAACAGCGCGGGCGCGAATGGCGCGCGCTCCCGAGAGGCGCCCGAGACGCGTGCACAGCGGCCTCTCACGGATCCGCGAAAACAAAAACCGCTCGAATACGTACCTCCCGGGACATATCTCGCAGTGTGTAGAAACGTCCGCAGGGCTACGTTTCCACAATGAGCCCGGGTTGGCCATTTGAGTTCTGAATTAGCCAAATAGGCTCAACCCCCGTTTACTATAGTAAAAACACTCTCTATATTCAAGTGCAATTTTTGTTTCCATGTATTAAATAAATAAATGCCTATTTTCTAAATAAATGACATGCATATAAATATATATTTAAATTTACAGGCTAATTCACATCTTTCATGATCTGAATGATAATAATAAATAAGAAGTATTTTAATATCTCTGACTCAGTGACTCAGTGACAGTGAAAGCGAGTGCATTCTCTAAGTGCTTCTGTCACTGTGTTTAATGCTTTCTCTGCAGGACTGTATGCTATAGTTAATGCCACATGAACTGTACAGTGTTTAATATTAGTAGGTTATTTTGAAATAAAAATAGCGAAATGTTTGTTAAGAGTATCATTTTTCGCAGGTAGAAACAGCAATGCTGATGAGGAAACCGTCATACTGGGATACAGGTGATATAAGGTTATCTTTATCAGAGAACTGCAAATAAGCAGATATTATACCAGTTTATCAATAAACACACAGCTCGGCTTCTCGCTGTCCATTGCTGTGGTTTGCTGATCAAATGAAAAACCAAAGACAAGGAAGAGCTGAATTCTGCCGCCGTTTACATATCAAATTTAAGGGGACTGAGGCGATGATCTAGTGAGCAGTTCATGAGCTGATCGCAAGAGTTTTCGGGGGCTGAGTAGAAATATAGGGGGGCTACAGCTACAGCCCCCCTAAAATAGGCCTAGCAACACCTGTATGTATGGTAATGCTGCTGTGTGGTTTTGAAGGTGAAGGTAAAGCGCAGTTTCTTCATTCTCCACATGACATTGTCTTCAGCTCAGCTGCTTTATGAGGGATGTTTAGTGAAATGAGAGAGTAAATCTGCATGCTTTCCCTCAGGGCTGCGAGCGCTGGGAACGTTTGATGTGCCGAGAGAGCTGCGTGGTCCAGGTGTGTACACTCGTCCCTTAAACACAAACAGGACAAGTGAGCGAGTGCTTGACCTTCTGCAGTAAGCGGCCCTCTGTTTATCCTCCTCAATTACGGCCCGCCTCAGCAGATTTATCACCCCACAGATTCACCATCAGCCTTTGAATTCGGCTGTAGCTTTGATGTCGGACGCCACGACAACGACCAATCACAGAGCAGAGAGTCTTCAGATGTCAGGGCGAGAGCAGCCTGTGGTTTTACTGTACAGTCAGTGTCTGTGTGCAGATCTCACAGCATCTCTCTCTATATCTTAGTACCAGTTAAAGTGGATTTAATCTGCAGAAATGACGTTTATAATTGGTTTAAACCCAGCAGTGTGTGTGTATCTCCAGCAGCCTCTAATGCTCAACATGAGTTAATTGTGTTTATTATAATCAGGCTTGATGAATGAATCACTTTGATTGACATTCTCCCTTTGTACGTGCCATTAAGCCCCGCCCACTAGTGCCCATCTCTCCATCTCATTAGCATAAACAGCAGCCCTGAGTGAGAAGCAGCCGTCTGTCCATTCTGTCCACACATGCACACCTGACCAGCACTGCCATCCTTAGCTCCGCCCTCTACTAAAAAGAGCACAATCTCATTTGCATTTAAAGCGACAGTCACCAAAACGCCACAATTATGATCAAAGCCTGAAAGGGTCAGTTTCAGAGAGTTAGAGAAGATCATCTGTGTGCTATTCTCAGCTCAAACTCAAACACACACACACACACACACACACACACACACACACACACACACGCGCGCACACTCTAGACACATCAGAGACGCAAGTGTGTTGAAAGCTCTCTCTCTCTCTCTCTCTCCTGCATCCAGCTGAATGTGTGAGGCGTAGCAGTAGAGAAGTGAGGTCAGAGAGAGGTTTTCTTCAGAGATCGTGCAGCGTTCAGTAACTGCAGGAGATGTAGAGCGCACTGAAGCTCTCTGCGTCACACTGGAGGATTCTCGAAAACTATCAGGAATCAAACACACATCCACAAACACAAGTAAGTGGCTTTAAGACCTCTTCTCTCTGAGTTATTGTAGCATTTCAACCCAGTGTATTCTGCGCTAACACGATCAGGCAGAGAGCAGTGGACATTATGTCTAAAGTAGCGATACAAGGACATTTACAGAGGAAACAATAATTTTAGGTCACATATTAAAGTGTTTGCAACTAAATTATAAATATTTATCTACATTAGACGTAGTGAACGAGTTAACACAGGCAGTTAAAGTGGAGCAGATCAAAACAGATTAAACAAAAGTATATAGTGAAGTAAATATAGAATAAAGATGCGTTAAAATGAAAACAGAGCAACAGTGAGACACTTAAAGAACATGCATATATAAGTATTATAGCCATTTATATTAAATAGTGTACTGTTTTTACACTATACGTTTATTTACACTATATATTACAGTATCTACAAATGTGTGTTACACATTCCAGCACACTATATAGAAACACTGTCGTACAGTTTAATGTTTACTACAGTAAAGTGTGGTGTATTGTAGTATAATATACCCTACAGTACTGTATTTGTTGTGTTACTATAGCAGCTGAACAATCATAAGAGATTAATTCCAGCACTTTACTATAGTATAGTTCACAAACACGACAGTATTTATTATGAATCACTATAGTATCTGCATGAGGAAAACAATATTGAGATATATCAGATAGGGAGAGATGCAACTTTGAGACATTAATAATAATAATAATAATAATAATAATAAAGCAAGAGCGAGTCATTTGATATGGTGATATAGCGGGTAAAATACAAAAGAACAACACGGAGATGCTTAAAGTAGTAATAAAGTAGTGTCATACAGTAGTGATAGGACAAAACTGCAATGTTTAAAGTAGCAACAGAGGCTTTTAAAGACACTTAAAATAGCAATTGAGCAACAGTGAAATATTTAAAGTTCTCCGAGTGACAGAGAGATGAAGGAGAAACACTGAGAAGACGTCAATGCAGCAAACCACTTACGGCGAGTTTAACACTACTGACTCTGAACACATTAAACTTCTCTTATGTTGAACACAAATAATAGTCCCAACAGCATAATATCGATAAAAATGATTACATTTTCAGACAAACTTTACAATATAAATATTAACAAAAATATATACAGATGAAGCCGGAATTATTTGCCTCACTTTGATTTTTAAGCTCAATATTATTCGCCTCTTTAAGCTATATTTGTTTCTGATAGTCTACAGAACAAACCACTGTTATACAATAACTTGCCTAATTACCCTAACTTTACCCTAATTACCCTAGTGAAGCCTTTACATGTCACTTTAAGCTGTATAGAAGTGTCTTGAAGAATATCTAGTCTAATATTATTTACTGTCATCATGACAAAGAGGAAATAAATCAGTTATTAGAGATGAGTTATTAACACTGTTATGAGCAGAAATGTGTTGCATTAATCTGCGCTCAGTTAAACAGAAATTGGGGAAAATTAACAGGGGGTGAATAATTCTGACTTAAAATGTACTTTATAATGAAGATTCATTAGGTAATATATTTACTAACGTTAATTATGAACAACACTTGTACAGTTCAGCATTTGTTACCCATTATTCATCAGTATTAAAATCTTGTTAACATTAGTTAATGCACCGTGACATAACATGAACGACTGTATTTTCATTAAAGGTCATGAATAAACACTGTAATAAATGTATTGTTCATTGTTTGCTAATCTTAGTAAATATATTAACTGATGCAACCGCATTATAAAGTGTTACCGATTTAAATTATGGCAGAAATCAGTAGAATATAAAGTAAAGATCAAGATTTTGAACATGTCCGTCCACATATCAAAACTCAATATTTGATGATTAATGTGAATTATTGATAAGAACTTCATTTGGATGAATTTAAAGGCTTTTCTAGTTGTATCTCAGGCAAATATTGTCCTGTTAACCCACACATCACTGGAAAGATGACTTATTCAGCTTTTAGATAATGCAGGAATTCACTTGTGAAGGTTTTGTGCTCCAGGGTTACAAATAGAGTGAGTACACTGTAAAAATACATGAACAATCGGTCCTGACAGCATCTGATTTTAATTAATTGTAACTTATTAAAATAAGTTCATCAAGTTTTAATCAAGTTTAAATTTACGCAAGCTGTTTTAAGTCAGTTTAACATAAAATACGTTCAATAGACTCATAAGGTTAACTTAATTCAACTTAAAATTTTAAGGCAACCAGGATTTCTTTTTACAGTGTAGAAACAGAGAAATATTAGGAAAATTAAAATGAAAAGGACAGATGTTGTACTGTATGTGTCAGGTGAGTAGAGTTTCCTCAGTTTGATAGTATTTGGTGACTCTCTAAATAGAGTTGAAGTTACTCAAGTTAATGTGACAGTGAAAGGATTAATAAGCTGATGATTGAGCACTGATGATTAATAAGCAGAAACACCAACACAGTCTCACGGCCATTCCTAACTTTTTGATTAAGTGGTTAATTCGTATGAATTCATATGATCTAATTTGTATAATTTAGTGTGATTTGCTCATCGCCCAATGATGGTTGGGGTTAGGGGTGGGATTACGTGCCACGACTTCTTTTTAAAATTGTACATTTTCATACGACTGAACTCATCCGAACTCGCCACTAAACTGACAAAACGTACAACACTAATGTTTCCTCGTGAGATCAGGCTGGAAACACAGAAGAGAAACACAAAACTACAACTGACTTTACTCACAGCTTTAGATGAAATCAGCTGAAATATAACAACTGAATCTCTCACAATCTCAGCAGAGAGCAGCACACAAACTCCACAACAGCAGCTTTACCTTTCACCAACCTGTTTGGCCTTATTTAAAGTCTTCACTAATACTGTCATTTTTACTCTGAGGTTTTGCTCTGTGTGTGTGTGAGTGTGTGTGTGTGTGTGTGTGTGTGTGAGAGTGTGTGTGTGTGTGTGTGTGTGTGTGTTTCCTTCTTCCCCAATACTATTATTATTACGTCATCATTATTAATATTGTCATTACCTTCATTATTATTGATAACACTGTTGCAATAATAACAGAATATCACTTTCATCATCGTCATCTATGACCATTTATATTATTAATATGATCACCATCAGGACTATGAATGCTAAGTACTATTTAAATATGCCAATACTATTGTGACTGTCTGTGCTCCTGTTATTTCTGTTCTGTTCTACTGCTGTTTGTGTGCTCTGTGTTTACAGTATAGTGTATGTTTTGTGCTTTTAATAATAAAAAAGACACTTAAAGTAGCAAACACCGCAACAGTGACATATTTAGGAGTATTAAAAGAGAAATGCTATCATTTACAGAGCTGAGAGAGCCATGTTGAGAGATTTAAATATAGGTGAAGTCAGAATTATTCACCCCCCTTTGAATTTTTTTTCTCTTTTTTTTTATATTTTCCAAAATAGTTGAACAGATTGAGGAAATGTTCACAGTATGTTTAATATTTGTTCTTCTGGAGAAAGTCTGATTTGTTTTATTTCGGCTAGAATTAAAGCGGTTTTTAATTTTTTAAACACCATTTTAAGGTCAATATCATTAGCCCCTTTTTTTCTCGATACTCTACAGAACAAACCATCATCATACAATAACTTGCCTAATTACCCTAACCTGCCTAGTTACCCTAATTACCCTAGTGAAGCCTTTACATGTCACTTTAAGCTGAACACTAGTGTCTTGAAGAACATCTAGTCTAATATTATTTACTGTCATCATGACAAAGAGACAATAAATCAGTTATTAGAGACGAGTTATTAACACTGTTATGAGCAGAAATGTGCTGGAGAAATCTGCTGTTAAACAGAAATTGGGGAAAAAATTAACAGGGGGTGAATAATTCTGACTTCAACTGTATATAATACTGGGAGAATTAGAGCAACATTAACACATGTACAGGGATAGTTCACCCAAAACTGAAAATGTACTCAATTTTTCATTATGTATTCTGAGTTGGTTCCAAACTTTTATGAGTTTCTTTCTTCTGCTGAACACTAAAGAATATATTTTAAAGAAAGTTGAAAACCGGTAACCATTGACTTCCATAGTTGAAAAAACAAATACAATGGAAGTCAATGGTTACAGGTTTTCAACATTCCTCAAAACATCTTTTTTTTTGTGTTCAACAGATGAAAGAAATGGTCTAAATTTACATTTTTTAGTAAACGGACTCTCATTGTGAACTGATTCTGTATATTGTCTTGATTTATTAGTTACATTTTTAATAATTTTAATGCTTTATTGTGCTTATTTTCTATTGTATTATATTTACTTTTATCTCTTTTGCTTAATGAGTAATACATTTAAAGGGCACCTATTCTGCCTCTAGTCAAAAGATATCAAATGTGTCTCTGAGTGTGTGTGTGTGTGTGTGTGTGTGTGTTTGAGCTGTGAATAGCACACAGATGATGTTCTCCAGCTCTCTGAAACTGACCCTTTCAGGCTTTGGTCCTAATTGTGCTGTTTTGGTGACTGTCGCTTTAAATGCAAATTAAATTTTAGAAGAGGGCGGAGCTACAGATGGCAGTGATTCAGCACAGTGACAGATGTAAAACAGCAGTGTGTGTGTGTGTGTGTGCTTCAGTGTGAGTGTGTGTTGATGCTTCTGTCAGTCTCTGTCGCTCCTGTCTCTGTTCATCTAGAAGTGCACATCTATAATCCTCTTAGTCTGACATCATCTTCAGCAGCTCAAACACTCTAATGGCTAATGGACAGACGGCTGCTTCTCACTCAGGCCTGCTGGATATGCTAATGAGATGGACACTAGTGGGCGGGGCTTGACGACACGTACTAAGGGAGAATGTCAATCAAAGAGTTTCAGTCATCAAGTCTGATTATAATAAACACAATTCACTCATGTTGAGCATTAGAGGCTGCTGGAGATACACACACACTTCTCACACACACACACACAGCTGGTTTTAACGTGATCTCAGTATAATAGATGCCCTTTATTGTCTCTGAATCAGCATCATGAGTGAAATGTGCATTATTAATGTCCTCTTCTGTGCTGTGAGGAGCTGGAGCTGCAGCTGGAGTCCGGCGTTCCCGTCTCCGTCTGAGGATTATACTGAAGTTGTGAGCGGGACTGAAGATCCAGAGTTCTGCTTGAGTGTGTGTGCGCATCATGAACTGCCGGATAAACGCAGTATAATGCGGCTATGGACGCTGCCATGGAAGCTGCTGCAGGTGGTGCTGGTGTTCAGCCGTGTGTGTGTGTGTGCGTGCGAAGGAGAGCGACACACACGGAACTACGACTACATGGAAGGAGGAGACGTGCGGATCCGCCGCCTGTACAGCCGCACGCAGTGGTTTCTGACCATCGACGAGTACGGCAACATCAGCGGGACACAAGATCCAAACAACTGCTACAGTAAGCGGACCCTCACCTGCACTACTGACACTACACTGACTAACTGGACATGATGTGCTCGGGCTGTGTGTCATCACAATATACAGCACTCAGCATACACCAGTACACCCCCAAACAGATATTCATTATCCTCCAGCTCAGTCCCTTTATTAATCTGGGGTCACCACAGCAGAATGAACTATTCCAGCAGATGTTTTATGCCCTACCAGATGCAACCCAACACTGGGAAACACCCATACACGCTCATTCTCACACACACACTCATACACTACAGCCAGTTTAGTTGATCAGAAACGTCCAGGCAGGTGTGTTGTAGGATGTTGGAGTTAAACTATGCAGAACACCAGCCCTCCAGGACTGAGTTCGGACACCTCTGGTCTATAGTGATCGATGATTGGCTCTTGTACTAGTAAGCAGGGCTTCATTCACCATGTTGAGCGTTACACTTTTCCCCATTCAAAACTATACCAGTGACATGTCTAGTGTATACTAGAATCTTTGGTTTTACTCCTGGGTACGGCAAATGTCTTATGTCACTGAAGAAGGAGTATTTCAGTGAGAGTACATGCAGTGGTTCAGTGTTGGAAAGTATTGATGATTTAAAGATATTTAGCCGAGTGTGTTTTTAGGAAAAAGTGCACTAAAATACACCTTAATGCATAATCCACTTAAAGTGCTCTGCTTTCTGTGATTGTTGTACTTCATGTAGTAAAAGTTTATCTTTAATAGTGCTAAAAGTCAACTCATGATCAGCTCAGTGTGCTCAACTCATGCACCATGTAGTTTAACTAAAATTGGCTTTTAATGTACTATTTTAGCTTTTAAAAAATACATCTTATGCCACTTTTAGTCATAAGTGCATCTTTTCATGCACTTTTAAATATACTAAATATACAAATAAAGTACGCTTATAAATTACTTCAGATATAACATTAACATGCAGATCTGCCATGACCAGTAAATCTGCAGCCGTTCAAGCGATTCATTCAAAACAGCTGATTCACTCAGAATCACATTCTTCCCTATTGACTCAATGGGAGAAATGACTAGGAATAATAAACGGCAGAAAACGGTCAAACTACTTACTCTACATACAAATGTTGGCAAGACTATACAGACCAAGTAGAATAATGTTATAAGGAAATATCAGTTTGCGACATCAAACAGTGAAACGAGCAGTTTTTAATGTCTAAAAATGAATGGAAGTGAATGAGAGCGGAAGTCTTGAGCCAAAAAGAGTCGAATGACTGCGCCCGCTCGTCTGCGGAGAATAAGGTCAATAATATGTTCAGATTACACTGATACTGAACAGAACAATTCCACAAACTACTGTTCTTTCTGTAAAATTGTATATTTTTATTTCTTTTGATTTTTCTTTTTTCTTTGTGTGTATAATTTTAGTACTGTGATCTTCAGGTTTGTTTAGTTATATTTATTCATCAGTTTTGTCTTTGGTACTGACTAATCTAATGTGTCTGCACTGATGCATTACTGTGAAGCGTTCTACTGTAAACCAGAGATCTGTGAGGGGTCGACTCATTATTGCTCAACACTGTATCTCACTTTAGTGTTGATGATATTGGACAAATCTGACAGTCATTTTTCATTCAGAATCATTGGCGCTCATGTTAAATTTGAATTCTTTTATATTTTCTCGCCAATTTCTGTTTAACGGAGAGATTTCTTCAACACATTCATAATCATAATAGTTGTTCAGACTTTATTTGGATGGCCTGGGGTCCGTTCTTCGTACGTGGATTACTCAGTTAGCTGGATTTGGATATTGACGATTTGACACGATCCAGGATCGTTTCGTTCTTCAAAGCTGATCCGAGAGTTGTTGTCATGGCAACAGTTCTGCTAGGTCAACCCTGATCGGGAGCAGGTTCAATTCATATAAACAGGATTAGATCGGCTCAGTTCAAGTAAAGATAACACAGAAAGTATGTGCCGAATTCTGATATTTTCTTACAGTAGTAGTTATT